CTGGGTCGAGTCGTCGAGTGTTCTGGTTTGCGCCGTCTACAACCCCCCAAAGGATGGTTATTGGAGTGACGTCCAGGAGGCACTGCTCAACTGCAGCGTAACCTATGACTATGCCATCTTGTGTGGCGATTTGAACATCAATTGGCCTGTACTCTCCAATCCACGTGCTACTCTGCGTGACTTTTTTGTGTCATACGACTTCAGGCCATTGCCGTTCGGGACCACGCATCATCCGGGAGACACGCACACGACAATCGACTACATATGCTTGCGAGGGCTGCAGGCCCTGGACACGGACAAGGAACATCACCCGTATATATCGAAGCACGATGCGCTCTTCGCTACTCTCCCTATCGACGTGCCGCCTCCTGTGGGCGCCAACATCAGATGCCGAGACTTCAAGCGACTTGACCGGCGTCGTTTTGACGCTGAGCTTTTTTCCATCGACTGGGCCCACATCATCGGCCTGGTGAACGTCGACGCTAAGGTCGAGGCCTTCACATCGGCGGTGAACCGGTGCTTCGATGCGCACGCCCCTTACCGGACTATCGTCCCGAGGAATAACTGGAAACCATGGTTCAGTGACGAGCTGAGGGGGTTGATATCTCAGCGTAATCGGGCGTGGCGACGGTACCGACGCCTTGGTCGGCAGGACGACCTCGAGCGGGCGCGTGCCGCTTTTTATCGGGGCAGGATCGCGTCGTGCAACGACTTGTCTACTGCGTGGAGGATAGTGGGAGAGCTTGGTATTGGCTCTCGTGCTCGTGACTCGTTTGCGTTGCCGATTGACGTCGACACTCTGAACGAGCATTTCGTTGGGGTCGCGGGCGACTTGGGCCTGCGCGACTCTCGCCAGACAGCCAGGATTGCACCTGAGGATCGATTCTACTTCTCCTACGTCACGGAGCTGGATGTCTTGGAGGCCGTCAGGCGTGGCCGCTCCAACGCCAGAGGTGTTGACAACATCTCGCTGCGGCAGCTTGCTACGTGCCTGCACGGGATTCTGCCTGTGCTCTGCGACATCTTCAACGCTTCTCTCCAGTCCGGTGTGTTACCGAGCCTCTGGAAGTCGGCCTTGGTGCGCCCCCTGGCTAAACGTAAGCCTCCACTCGATGTTGGTCACCTGAGGCCGATAAGCCTGCTCTGCGCAGCCTCCAAGCTTCTTGAGTATGTCGCTCTCAAGCAGATGAAGGCATTCATAAGTGAGCGCGGTATTCTTGATGATCACCAGTCTGGATTCCGGGAATACCATAGCACACACACAGCGCTCATCGATCTGGTGGACGGCGTGCGCGCGGCCGTGGAGGACAACGACGTTGTCTTAATGGTGGCTATAGACTTTTCGCGCGCTTTTGACCTTGTCGACATCGGTCTGCTGATCGATAGGCTGAGGTCTTACGGTTTCTCGGACCAGGCCTGCTTCTGGATTCAGTCTTTCTTGTCGCACCGACCTCAGATCGTGCTTGGGCCCCAGGGCGAGAGGTCGTCGCAGCTCCATCGCGTGAGGGGTGTCCCTCAGGGAAGCTTGAGCGGTCCTTTTTTATTCTCTATTTCCATCAACGATCTACCTTCGGCCTGTCTTCACAGCAAACACCACCTATACGCTGACGATTTCACGATCGTCTGTCGAGGATCTCCCAGCCAACCTGAGGTGATCATCGGTAAGATGAATGACGACCTCGCCAGGGTGTCCAGGTGGGCCGAGGAAAACGGCCTTACCATCAACGCCAGGAAGACACAGACCATCTGGTTCGGGAGCCGGCCTTACGTCCGGAGTATTCGTGCTGCTGCCTTGCCACCGGTCCGGCTCTGTGGAGAGAGCTTGGCGCCCTGCGACGACGTGAAAATTCTGGGCTGTGTTCTCGACGAGACTCTTACTTGGCGAGAGCACACTAATTTCACGGCCGCGAAATGCTTTGCCGCCCTGGCGCGCATGCGGAGTAGGGTGGTTCGCTTTTGCAAAAATGTTCGAAATCGCGTATACGTCATGGCGATTCTGAAAGTTCAAGTCTTTACGAAAAGAAAGCCGGGTTCAGAACCTAAAAAAAGTGTCGGGAACCGGTGTCGATCGATTTTTGAAGTTTGAAAACGTGGTCCAAAAAAGGAGCAAAATCGGTCAACAATTCAATTTATTTCAAACTGTGTTTCGAGAGTAAAAATAATATCGACAATACATTTTCTTACGTATTTTTGTCTGTAGAATCGAATGCCGTAGTCAGTTTTGCTCTACGACTTCGTTTTCATCGATAAAAATGTACTTTTTTGATTTTTTTTTCGCTTAAAAATCCAAAAATCGACTTTGCAACGTTTAAAAATGAACAGAAAAAATCTTCGAAAATTTTTGACACTACCAAAATTTAGGATTTTTTGTGACGAATCCAACCGTATAAATTAGTATATGCTTTAAAATTATTTTCATTCATAAAAATGCAAATTTTCGATTTTTTTTGGCTGAATTTGACGAAAAATCTCGAA